CTGGGAGTTCTCGGTCTACATACTGCTGAAGCCTACCTTGTAGGATTTACAGCATAACCTTGCTAGCGTGTGAAATGAGTAGAATTGTACAGTAGTTGGAGCATTCTTTGGCACTGCCCTTCTTTGAGATTGGGATGTAGACTGATCTTTTCCAATCCTCTGGTCACTACTGAGTTTTCCAAACTTGCTGGCATATTGAGTATAGCAACTTAACAGCATCATCTTTTAAGATTATAAATAGTTCGACTGGAATGTCATAATTTCCACTGGCCTTGTTGTTAGCCATGCTTTCCAAGGCCCACTTGACTTCGCTCTCCAGGATGTCTGGCTCAAGGTCAGCAACACACTCTCTGGGTTGTCTGGAACATCCAGATATTTCTGGTATAATGGGTTTTGTGGGATTTTTGGGCTCTTTGGCCATGTTCTGAAGGTTGTTCTTCCTAACGTTTCGCCAGTCTCTGTGGCCGGCATCTTCAGAGGACAGCAAACTGTGCTCTGGGTAGGCTGGGTCTTTCATTTTGAACTCTAAGACCTAAACTTCCCTGTTGTTCCTTTTATCTCTTGACTCCCTACTTTAACATTCCAATCCCCTAGAATGAAAAGAACATCTTTCTTTGGTGTCAGTTCTAGATGTTGAAAGTAATACTTGTCTCCATTCTTAAAGTAAGCAATAGTGCCACCTAGTGCTAGAAAACACTAAATGATATCACCAATCTATAATTGTGTAAATCATGTGTAATTTCATGCACATTTTTTCACAAAATCCACAACTATGTAATATTTACTTTTACACTAATTACAAATGAGGTCAAACATAAACTGCCAGGTAGTTCAGTGCAAAGAGTTATGGTAGGTTCCATAGATAGCAACAATGGAGATGGGCAAGCAACCTAACCTGCTATAATATAGTTTATTTTATTTATTTGTTAGCCAGTTTCTTTCATTTCTTTGCCACCTTTCTCCACTAAGTAGCTCACAATAGTTGGAACAAGTTAGACTAAAAATGTGTGTTCCTGTCAAATACACTTGTGATGACTATGAGACAGAGAGAAGGGGGTTGAAGAGATCTTCAGAGCCAGGAAAGCTCATATAGGATGTTATGGTCCTTCAGACATCTTACATCCAAACCATATAGGATTATAATAATACGTCATAACTGGCACTCTGAACTGGGCCCAGAAATGGCATGGTATTGTTGTAGGCCTCCTCTAACCAGTGACATTTGGTAACCTGGTTGCAGCATTTTGAACCAGCCGAAGTTCTCAAACATCTTCAAAGGCAGCCCCTCGTAGAGGAAGTTACACCAATCCGAGCAGGATGTAGCTAAGGCAGGTTTGCATCCTCCCAAGCCCCAGCTCCTGACACCTCCACTGTTGCTCCCTTCCAGGTTTGGATCCACTACTAGAAGTGGAATATATTTGGCAACAGCTTCATAGCAACTCTCAGGATGATTCAAAACATACCGATCAACGGTAATTGGCCTCCTGCGGTGCGCCACACGCCTACCGGATTTCTTCAATTTTTCGCATCCGGTGTCTTGGCCTACCTCCCTTTACCGGAGACTCCTAGTCTACTTGCCTTCACCACGTCCGTCGAAAGCTCCATAGCCTTCGAGACTCCTGGTCTACCGGCCTTCATCAAGCCCAGTAAACGCTCAGTTACTTGGGACTCCTGGTCTACTTCCATCTACCGGTTAGTCTATGCCTCCAAAGGACAATATAACAGACCGACCTAAAAGCGACCACCTACCCGTCTGTCTCTCCATTTCCCTGACGACTCCACAGTTGCCCTCACCTCCAGCTGATCGGGCAGAGAGAACTACGGTTGTAGGGAAACGCTTAAAATGGTCCCCCCTTGTTGACCAAACAATTCGGAAACAGTTAAACAACCCACATCTGCTGAGTGTACATAAGGAT